GAAAGAAAGAAAGAAAGAAAGAAAGAAAGAAAGAAAGAAAGAAAGAAAGAAAGAAAGAAAGAAAGAAAGAAAGAAAGAAAGGAAAAAGAAAGATCCAGAGGGGAGAACAGGACCTCTTATCATGATGGAACTACCAGAGGCAGCATGGGGTTCTGAGAGCCAAGAAATGTGAGAGACTCAAAACTGAACCCAGCTATCAGAGTTTTCATATTCTATATCCCCATCCAACTCTCTCTCCTGAACCCCAGCTATCAGAGTTTTCATATTCTATATCCCCATCCAACTCTCTCCCCTCATGTTGATTCCACCCTTATTTAATGCTTAGTATCAACTTGGCATGACAGCTGGGCCCTGCTTAGTTTTCTCTTGCACTGCTTATTTTCCCCCTTCTTTACTCTTTCCCTTTTTATTTTCCTTTCCTAAAGAGTATAGTTGGTCTGCGGGGTCTGTCTGGCTTAGCCTCCAAAGAGATGGGGCTGTACTATTATTATTGTTTTGTTTTTTGAGACATGGATTCTCTGTGTAGCTTTTGGAGCCTATCCTGGAACTTGCTTTGTAGACCAGGCTGGCCTCAAACTCACAGAGATCTGCCTGCCTCTGCCTCCCGGGTGCTGGGAATAAAGGTGTGTGCCACCACCACCTGGCTATCGGGCTGCACTATTATTATCTGATTACGTATCGTTACCTTTCTTTTTTCAGTTTACCTTCAACCAACATTCTGTCCCCCACATTTTTGTCCCTTCAGGTCCTTCTATCCTAGCAGTTGGATGGTAAGGGTAGTAGCATCATACAGATTTGAAGCCAGTCTGGGCTGTATCTACACAGTACATTACAGGCCAGCTGGGTTTATAGCAAGACAGTGTCTCAAGGAAACCACCACCAAAAACAATTTTACAAAGTCTTTCAGAAACTGTCCTCTTTGAATCTATAACCACTGAACTGCTGCTCAAACAATGGAATGTGCACCTACTCCAAGAGAGTACAATAATTACCATAAACAGTATCAGTTCAGTGATCATCATCATCTGTGTGGTGCTCAGTATATTCAATGCAGTGTGTTAAGAGCTTTATCTATAGTTATCTGCCCTCAATACTATTCCAGCAAACTACATATTTCCATTTTACAGATTTAGAAACAAGTTATTCAGAGCAACTGCCAGTTGATATAACTAGATACTGAGTAGCCTACACTTAAAAATAGATAAGCCCAACTTCAGAGGCTGTATATACTTAGTATATTATGTTAGTGATACAGGTCTTAATTCTAACCTTAATCACATTGCTAGTTTTATAAAGAAAGGTAAGCACAGAAATAATGATCTATGGATTCCTGTGGGATGTTCTGTATGCTGTGAATGTATTGCTCTAATTGGTTGATAAAATGCTGATTGGCCAGTAGCCAGGCAGGAAGTATAGGCAGGATAAGCAGACAAGGAGAATTCTGGGAAGAGGAAGGCTGAGTTAGGAGATGCCAGCCCGCTGTCCAGGGAGCAGCATGTAATGGCAAACAGGTAAAGCCACAGAACACATGACTTATAGATTAAAACAGAAATGGGCTGAGTTTAAGTATAAGAGCTAGTCAGTAGTAAGCCTGAGCTAATGTCTGAGCAGTTTTAATTAATATAAGCCTCTGTGTGTTTACTTGGGTCTGAGCAGCTGCAGACAGGGTGGGACACAGGAAAACATTTAGCTACAATGGATGTCTGATCCAATCCCATAATATTAAGAAAGCCAAAAGTACTGGTCAAAGATACTAACCTTCTTTGGCCCATACTTAAGAAAATACCGAGCTAATTCAAGAGTTGTTCTAGCATCTTCTATGGTATCATGACCAAGCTTGTCTGGGCACTGTGTGTCCTTCCTAGAAATGAAGATGAAATGTATGTATCTGGGAATATTTTTAATGATTATTTCTTTTAATCACAGTATATAAAATTTCACCATTGTAATAATCAGATTTATATCACAACTATCAAGATCCCTTTTCTCCGGCTCAACTCCCAGGCCTCAAAAGAGGTGCTGCACATCCAGAACAACCTGGAATGGCTTTGACCACAGGAAGTACACCACAGGAATGAAAGATTAGCCAATGAAGTCTCTAGCCCACTCTTAGATGTATCAAGTTTCCTTCCAGAAGATTTTTATTCATATGCAAGTATTTATACATTTAAATATCTTCTTGGTTGTATATGAACAATCTTAAATATGCATATATTTATGTCACTATACCTACTATACTTAATCTATTATATCAATATCTATATAAAGATCCTTCTCAGCAACTCTATTTTATTCTAAATAATATCTGGTTTTCCACATTAGCATACACAGATCCATCACATTCCTTTGAATAATAACACAAATAACTGTAATTTAATCAGTCCTCTACAATTTTTCTTTTCATTTTGAGCCATGTTATAATGAACATACACTTATAAGCTTCAAAACTACAAGATATATTCAATATAAGTATGCTACATTTTGAAATTCCATGGTACTAGGGACTGAACCTCGACCTTATAAATGATATGTAAATGTTCTACCATCAACGTCCTTCAAAATTTTTTAAAATTACATTTGTTTGTTTATGTGTTTAGGTGTGTACCGTGTGTGTGTTTGGTTGAGGGATGGGCAGAGGACAACTTATGGGAGTCATCTTGCCACCCAAACACATTTGTTTTTAAACTTTTCATATTTAGTCAGGGTCTCATTAAGTTGCTCAAGATAGCCTTAAACTCACTTTAGAGACGAGGAAATCCTTAAACTTGAGAATCTCCTACCTCTGCCTTCAAAATAGCTGAGATTATATGCCTACCCTGTCATGTCCAACTGTATTCCCTTAATTTCTTCATTTCTTAAGAACTGGAGAGAGTAATGTTTATAAATTAAGAAGACAACCAAGACTGAATTGGATAATGCATATTAATTTATGTACAATGTATCAGGACAGCATTATAACATGAATAAACCTACCCCAAAATAACTTTGGCTAAGAATCTTAGCTTAAACCTTCTGCCCTGCTTCCAGATATAAAGCAATGAGGAATCAATAACATATGGATGTATCACCTGGAGAGGAAAGAGAATGAATACATAGCATCTTATGCTAAAGGAAAAAAACAGGGAAGAGGGTTGGGAGTCAAGAGCCCAAGTCTTTACATCTTAGATAAATGGAACATGCTTTTTTATTAGAGAATAAAATCTTAAAACAGATACACACTTTCAATACTCTGAGATCCAAAGTCTAGGGAATGGTCCACTAACACAGCATCAGGAGTAAGCAGTTCTCTTAACAGCTTCTGTGCATCTTTGAGTTTGGTTGTCATTGGGTTAAGAATCTTCTTCGTGATTCCTGAAAAACTTTAAAGAGAAACAGACAGACTAAAATATCAGCTTTTTTCTAAGGAAACACTTTGATAAATTATACTTAATATACATCTATTATAGAAAAAGCTGAAGATCCAAATAAGCAGAGAAGTTAAAAAAAATCAACCATAAACTTCTAGAGGAAAACATGGGCAGTACTATATATATGATGTAGATGTAGGCAAGGACTTCCTGAGTAGGGCTCCATTTACCCAAGAATTAAGGCCAACAACGGACAGTCAAGACTTCATAAAACTAAAAAGCTTTGCAGAGTCAAAGAAACCATCAACTGGGTGAAGAGGAAGCCCATAGAATAAGAGAGAGTTTTTGCCAGCTATATATCTGGAAAGGTTTAATATCCAGAATATACAAAGAAATCAAAAAATAAAGACTGAAAAAACAAAACAACAACAACAACAACAACAAAACTAGGACCCATTTTTAAAAAAATGAATAGAGAGTTCTCAAAAGAATATCTTAAAAATGTTCATCTGCCCTAGCAATTAAGAAAATAAAATCAAAGTAAGTTTGAGATTTCATCTTACCCCACTCACTCAGAAAAGCAAATATCAACAATGGACAACAAATACTGGAGGAGATATGGGGGAAAGGGAGCCCTCATTCACTGCTGATAGAATTACAAAATGCTACAGTCACTGTGGAAACCAGTGTGGAGAATTCTCAAAAAGCTAAAAATAAATCTACTACATGACCCAGCTATACCACTCCTTGGAATATACCCAAAAGACCTGACATCCTATTCTACAGATATTTGCTCAGCCATGTTCATTGTTGCTGTATTCACAATAGCTAGAAAATGGAAACAATCTACATGCCCTACTACTTACAAATGGATAATGAAACTATGGTACACATCCACTATGGAATATTATTCTGCTGTAAAGAAAAACAAAATCATGAACTCTGCAGATAAATGAATGGACCTAGAAAAGATCATATTGAGTAAGGTAACTTAGACTCAGAAAGACAAACATTGCACAATCTCTTTTATTGGAAGCTCCTAGCTCCAAATCTTCAGATGTGAGTACATAGCCTTGTACTAATTACAGAAACCAGGAGAATAAAATGGGACTATTACCAGCACAGGGAGGTTGGGGAGCAAAGGGGAATAGCAAGGTACAGGTAATCTGATTGGGTAATAAAAGGCACGGGGGCTCCTTAGAGAAGGAGAGGTAAATACAGAAGAGGATGGGAAGAGGGTAGAGGGGAATGGTAGATACAAATGATGTGATTGAGGAAATGGGAAAGGGAAGACCTCCTTAGTGAGGGGAAGGGAGGAAAAATAACAATATGGACAGCTGTAAAGGCCACAAGGAACCATCTTATTAATTATTTACCTAAAAAACAAACAAACAAACAAACCTATAATGCACATAATTCAGTGTATAAATATAACTTTTCTCATTTGGGCTGAAGGTGCTCCCTCCTAAGATCACCTAACAAAAACCCCAATGCAAGACATGAGCAGCCCTTTTTTAAGTTGTCAGCCAAAGCTGTCTAAAAGACCCCAATAACATACAGCCTATTGTTGTTGCCCCTGATTACCCCTTGAGACAGGAGGTAAGTCCCTAGGGCTGAAGAAACCATGTACTTCAGAAACAGGGCCCAGAAGCCCCTGAGCTGGAACTGACCTGAATCCCCATTCCTGAGGACCAGCTTTCATGGTACCAGAAGGTGCATGCAAGCTGCCAAGGGAGAGAGGCAACCAACCGTCCTACCGAGCTACGATGCATGTGAACCAACAAGGAGCATGGCAGAATAACCCTGGGTGTAGTCATGCCACACAGACTTTGGCGGTAATCAACTGCTCTCTAATTGACTTAAGACCCACTCAACAAGAGGGATATCATGCCTGGTACTGGAAACCTAGCTAACTAATCGGTGCTAGTGATGTCATGGTTATTGGAGGAGAATCTACAACCACTAATTTACAAAGCCAGCATAGTCTCTGACAAAAATCTATAAGTATTTGTCCTTATACCCACAGATAAGTATAGTCTTCACCTCTAATCAAGGAAACTTCTCTTTGTAAGAGATAGAGACCACTCTCAAAACACAGAGTTGTGGAGCCCTGTCCCAATGGAAACATCTATAGAACACTCACATATCTAAGCTCAGGGGACATTGTGGAAGAGGAGGGTAGAAAGACTGTAAGAGCCGATCAGGGATTTTGCTGTGAGATGTGCCTCTGGGTAATGTCAGAAGCTACACCCATCAAGTCTCACCAACATGACTGACCAAATGTGAGTTTAACAAGAAGGTACCCATGAACATGCCAAATTGCACGGGGAAAAGATCATGAGGCCTTAACGCTACACAAAAGGCAAATGAGGAAAGCTGGGAGTGTGCTGTGGAACAATCTTTATACACTGTAAATATATATTGCTCTCATTGTTAATAAAAAGCTGATTGGCCAGCCGGGCGGTGGTGGCGCACGCCTTTAATCCCAGCACTCGGGAGGCAGAGCCAGGCGGATCTCTGTGAGTTCGAGGCCAGCCTGGGCTACCAAG